TTAGAAATGTGTGTTTAAGGTCTGCGTCTTCCAGACCTTCCAACCAGCTCTGCTTCTTTTTCCTATTGCACTTTTCACTTCTAACATACTGTTATCATTTAGTTATTTATTACAGGTACCTGGATTACCTTCTCCCTCAATTAGAATGTAACCACATCGTTCACCTAGTTTGTTTACTGACAACAATACTTGGCTGACAGAGGCAGCTCAGAGAGTGTTTGTTGAAAGAAAGAATAAATAAATCATCGTCATGGCTATTTGCCTCTTGAGAGCAGGACCTGATGCGACCCTGCAGCCCAGTGGGTAAAATGATGCTCCCCTGGTGAAGAGGCCCAGGCCCTAACCCTGAGCCGGTGAGTGTGTGACCTCACACAGTAAAAGGGACTTTGCAGATGTGATAACATTAAGGATCTGGAGATGGGGGATTATCCCCAGTGGATAGTCCGAGATTACTAAGTGGTCCAATATAATCTGAAAGGTACTTATAAAAGGGAGGTATGAGGGTCAGGAGCCAAGTTCAGAGTGACAGGGTGTGAGATCTGTGACTGCTGGCTCTGAAGATGGAGGAAGGGGCACATGGAAAAAGGAATGTGGGTGATCTCTGGATGCTGGAACTGGCCAGAAAGGAATCCTTCCCAGAAGGAAAGCAGTTCTCTCAAAACCTCCAGACGTCTGACTTCCAGAATTGTAAGGTGGTAAGTTTGTGCTGTTTTAAGACACTAAGTTTGTGGTAATTTGTGATGGTGGCAATAGGAAACTAATATTAATATGTTCAGGGATTGAACACATAGTAGCTTCTTAGTAAATGCTTGCTGAATGCATGGCTATAAATAATAAAGTATAACTTTTAGTCTCTTAAATAAAATTTAATCCACAGGAATAGCCACAAGTGACTTAAGCTATGAGCTGATGGTGATGACTGTCACTGTTACTATTTTCTTAAGTTTTTTTCTTTACCTTTAAATAACTAATTTTAACTCAGGGATGGCCATGATATCAGATCCTGTGCTAACAGGTCTTACATCTATCTATGTAGCTAGTTTTATTAATCAAATATAAATTTCCTCCTCATAAAACCACAAAGCAAGATTTAACAAAAAGAAAAGAAAAAGGAAACGAATGTATTTAATGAAAATGGTTTGGTCTTAACACACACACACTTAATTGCATTCAGGTTCTCATCTGAGTGCTCCTGCCAGGCTGAGAGGGGCACACAAGGATTCTTCTCTCTGAGCATTTAAACGCTTGATCTTTATGAATCTGTTTTTAATGCTGACACTTGAGGAAAGAGAGAAGTGACGAGGAGTCACTGGGGACACGTTTCAGCCTTCAACAGAGAATTCAAATGATCTAAATTACTGGAAAAGGTTTTTCCACGTCTCCTTAAAGAGAGAGAGTAAAACAGTTTTTTCCCGACATCTCTGCTCTCTCAGCACCTCAGCCCACCTGCCGGGCTTGCCACTGCTTTCATCCCAGAAACCAAAAACCCCAAAAGATTTGGGATTAATCCACTTCCAGTTATTATGGGTGAATGTTGATAATAAGATTATTTTCAATTAACATTAATAAATCAGGAAAAATAAAATTACGAACAAAGGACATATCTATTTGTTTTTATGGGAAAGAAATTGTGAAATTTTTAAACATCTAGAACTTCTCAAGTACAACCTAGAATTAGGTTTTGGCCCTGTGGAAGATGTATATGAAGCGGGAAACTTCAAAAACATCTCACATATGCTGTCCAACAGTAATTCTAAACAGGGTTCTGCTCTATGGATCGCACTTGATGATGAGGCATTCTTGCCTTTTTTCTCTCCAGTGCTGATTTATAGAACATAGTTGGAGAAGCAAAACATGAGACCCACGGCAGAGCCAACTCTATTCCATAAACATCTACTGAACGACGCCTCGGCAGGATATCCTGGTTGGAGCAAAAGGAAGTTCCCAGCATCCAAGTGCTGCCCACACAGTGGGGAGTGGCGCTGCCTCCAACAGGTGCAGTGGGTTCACATTTCAGTGGCTTCAGCACACTCATGAACCAGATATAATTCCCCAAGTGAAAAATCCTAAACCAGAGTTTAATTAAAAGAAAAAAGTTAAGTGCAATTTTTAAAATAAAAACAACTATATTTCAACTTAAATAATAAGAGCACAGAAATAGAGGATATTTTTTCACTTGAGAGAACCTGAAACCTTGCAAGCTCTTTGTTATAGGAGCGGGTACTATCTGCCCATCAGTCCATCCAGCCACTCTCCTATCCATCATTTATCAGCAGGTGCCAGGAGCAAGGTGCAGGGCAACCAGGCAGACAAGATGATGGTTAGGACACACTCCCTTAGGGAACGCTTCCAATGCAGTTACTCCCAGCTGTGTCCAACAGTACCACTGCTAGTCCCACTAGAAAGGGTGCCACTGCCTTCTTCTCCTGTGAACACATTTGACTTGTTTACGCTGCTTGTACAGGCTGCTTATCTGCCTCTTCCTTTGTCCTGCTGTCAGTCTAATGCCTCAAAGCATGTCTAAGCTGTATCTCAAACATGTGACCTCATGTATCACTGCATTTCCTGCTATGCTCAATAAATCATGTCCCTGGGTAGCAGCAAATCAATCTGGTTCTTACAAAGAAGATGTAAATCACAATCCGTGGCACCCTCCTGCATTCGCCGAAGGATTTAGCTGTTTAAAACATCTCAAGTCTTCTTGATACCATCCTGATTAGACCCTTCCTTAGGTCTCAGGTCCAGCTCAGGACTCCCTATGCCAAGAGGCAAGTGAGGAGGTCCAGAAGAGATTTATAAGACAGCCTAGATTGCAACCTAGTAAATATCAAAGAAAGCTGAAAAGGTATTTAGCCTGAAAGTACATGAGCCTGTTCTCAGCCAATGCAGAACACCAGGCCACTACAGACAGAAGCACCCGACTGCCTCCCTCTGACTCTGTCCGAGACAGAGGAAACACACTGGGGAGGAGGATTTTAGGCCATACAGTCAATCTAAACATTCATCTACACCAGTGACTTTCAGCTGGTGCGCCTCGGCACACTGAGGCACCATAAGAGGATCTTGGGTGTATTGCAAAAAATTTTTAAAGCTAATTAATTAAATTATTTTTGAAATAAGTTCAAAGCACAGTAAGTATACTATTTTTTTACTCTTTTGGATCAACTTAATTTAAGTTGTGCTATGAAAGTTTAACTATAGGTTCAAATGTGCCATGAGCTAAAAAAGGTTGAAAAACACTGATCTAGACATGCTAAGTCTAATCCATTGATCAAGAGATCCAAACTTGAACCAGAACGTACTAACTCTCCCAGAGAATTACATAGCCCATATTTCTTTTTTTTTTTTTTTTTGAGACAGAGTCTCAAGCTGTCCCCCTGGGTAGAGTGCTATGGCTTCACTGCTCACAGCAACCTCCAACTCCTGGGCTCAAGTGAGTCTCCTGTCTCAGCCTCCCAAGTAGCTGGGACCACAGGCGCCCACCACAACACCCAGCTATTTTTTGGTTGCAGCCATTATTGTTGTTTGGCGGGTCCAGGCTGGATTCGAACCCGCCACCTTAGGTGTATGTGGCTGGTGCCTTAGCCACTTGAGCCACAGGCGCCGAGCCACATAGCCCATATTTCATGCTTTGTATTGTGACTAGGCACACTTCTGGGACAATCATGGAGATGGCCTTGGGATGTGCCCTCTGGACTCATTAGGTAAACAGGGATATGCTTACTCATGGGTCCCTATGTAACAGCCTCGTTAAGAAATATCTTTGTCTCTAGAGCCAAAAAAGGCCTACCCCTTTTCTAATTTAACTGCTCAATGCTTCCTTCTTTTTTTCTGCTATAAAATTCAGCAATAAATTTCTAGGCAAACTGAGATGACTCTAGTAACACAACACTTCCTCCAGGTCTCTCCTGAAATGTCAAAGAGCTCTTCCCCAATAAACCTGTATAAATTAGCCGGCAACCCACACTACTCCCCTGTCCCCTCACCCTGCTTTCCTGTTCCTTAGTTTACTTTTACCCAAAGCACGTGTCCAGCATTTGAGATGCTTGATATACAGTAGGCCTGGTTTGTTCAGGGTCTATTCTTTTCCCCACCAGAAAGTAACCACAGTTAATGGCAGACACTGCCTCTCTCCTGGAACCCCAGCAACTAAACACTGCCTGAAAACAGTAGGCACTCAATAAATTCCTTCCTGAATGAACCAATAAGAATTCCCCTAGAGAATTACTGGGCCCAAATGTCATGCTTTGCATGAAAAGAGCAGCCAATGGTGTAAAAATCTAAGGTTTCTATTTGAAATTTCTTTATGAACTTGAATTTTAATTTTAAATTATACATTTTCCTGGTTCTCATGTGGGTACTGTTTTGGTTTTCCCTTTTTAAAGTATTTGTGAAAGCCAGCTTAAATCTTCTGCAAAGTGAAGCAAAGACAGCAGACAGAGATAGGCATAAGCAGATACAAAGAATGATCTAATTACCAAACATGCTGGATTTTAACAGATGGTAAAGTCCCCACTGAGGATAGAAGAGGAAACCAGCCAAGCAGTACAACTATTAATTAAGCAGAGAAGCCTCTATTCTCCACCTGATCGTTCCCCTCCTATCAGTGCCCCATCCCTGTGCTGATGTGGTCAGGTGTCATTTGCCACTAAAGGAGGAGCCCCCAGAAAGCCCTCCTGGCTTCTCTGGCTGCTCCCACACGGCTCACTGTCCACTCACCCATGGGGCCTGGGACACCAAGGCTGCTTTTCACTGTGGATGAGCCTAAATGGTCCACACTCCCTGTCACTGGGATTCTTTGAAAGGAGATCAATGAAGAGTTTACGGAAATTTTTGGAAATAAGCTATACCTCTCCCCCAAACACAATCGCATAATGATCAGGGGTAGAACAAGAAGTGCATGAGAACCAGGTCAACTTCCTTCCAAATCTACCTCAGGGGAGTTAAAGGTGCCCAGCGGCGGGGCGGAACATGCTGTGGGGCACTCATAGGGGCCTCACCTGCTTGACCAGAGTCACCGTCCCTGGAGCCATGGCCACCACCGAGGCAAGGGCAGTGGCATCATGGGTCTCGGTGCCCAGCTCGATGATCTGCTGCAGGATATTCACAGCTGTGGGGTCAAGCCGGTCGCCTGACAAGGAAAGACAAACAGGACAGCATCAGGGCACTGGTGCTGAAGGACAGAGAACACAAATCAGCCCCTTCCCTGGAGGACACACAGGTCTGGGTCTTCCATAATCACTCACTTTGACAAGTAGAGATAATCAGCAGGGTACTCTAGAACTTGCAAAGCATTTTCTAGAGGAACATGTCAAAGCCCCCAGTGGCACTGCAAGGAGATGACACTACATTATTTCCCACTCTGTGTTCTGAATCCTGACCTGGGGGCACACCACAGCCCTTCCAGGCAGGACCCCAGGAGTGCCAGCCGACATGTTCACTGCAGAGTCAGTCTTCCTTGAGCACATGGGAGGCGGTCAGTGAAACTGTGCCAAGTAAACACCATAAAATGTCTAAGGATGTCTCACTTACCCAACCAGTGGGCTTTCGAATTCCAACCAAATTTAAGCTTTCATGCTTAAGGCTCTATGTTAATCATTTCAGAAGGCTGGAATCCATGTCATCAGGGCAGCTATTTAGCATGCCCCACCTGCTGTCACCATCTGCCTGGCCATCTGTAACCCTCTAGAACACACCCTGACCCTGATCATTAATTTGCTAGAAGAAAATTATAGCTTGGTCTCTAAACTAGCATAACATTATGATGTTTCTGCCAGTATGTGCACCCTCACGGGCGGCCTTTTGTAGGCTACGTTCCAATGCAGGTCAATCAATAAGAAATCAGAGAAGGGAAACTCAACGTGCTCCATGTGGAGAGGGGGCAGCATGTGACTGGAGAAATGACCTTTGTGTGCTCACAATGCATCACTCCCAGGAAGTGACCCTCAGGGGAGAAGATGAGGCCAAACACGCCAGACATCCAGGCACTGAGACGTTTCCCTGCACGGCTCCCTGAGGGGGCTCTAATTCCTCAACCATTTACTGCCTCAGCGGAATACAGACATGGACCTCACATCCCCCCTTCTCCTTCCAGGGTTGCAGGCTCCCGAGCAGACTCATGAGCAGATCCTACAGCACCTGGCATGTCTCGCATCAGGAGGGCAATTGGGGACTGCGTGGAGGAACTGGGTGGGCTCCCCGTAGGTGACATATGATCTGAAGATGAGGATGAGTTGGGCAGAACATGTGGTGTAAAGGACAAAAGACCAGGCCGCATGCCAGAGAGCACTGGAGTGTACATCCTCACTGAGAACTGTAGCGTCTGACCAAGGGCAGCACAGCCTGGGGGTGGGGGATGGCCAGAGACAGAGACTGGCAGGGGAGGCAGCCAGAAGCCAGAGCAGGTGGGCCCAGCTTGTTGAGCTGCAGGGTTTGAATTATAGTCTAAGAGCTAGAAGAGACAGTGAAGGGCCTTCACAAGGAGTGACAGGGCGAGTGCGTGTGCATGCACTCCTGTGTGTGTGCGTATATGTGTGTATGTGTGTGTAGAGGAAGATGGGCTGCACCTTGCAGGTGTTTCTTGAGTAATCACTGATGTCACTGAACATTAAGGAAGGAAACTCAAAGTTCCGACAGGGCCTTGGCACTGGGGGCCACAGTTAGCAGCCTGGGCCTCAGCTCTCCAATCCCCAGAAGGGCAGGCACTGCCTGCTGAGTTGGAGGGAACACAGCCCAGCCGATTAAGCTTTCCCAAACTGAGTGTGCCACAGAGTTTTCTGTGCAGTTTTCTCACAATCTGGGATTTCGGGAGTTCAGAATTAGGCAAAATGGAGTTTTCCTAACTCCCCTCTCCCGCCCCACTTCACTTCACCTGTGCTCCCTCTGGTCCCACCTGCTGATCTCTACCCCCAGTGCGTGCAGGGCTGTGGCAGGTAACATTCACTTGTGTTCTGTGCATGTTCCAAAAAGAGTACCAAGAAAAACTAAGCATAGTGCCACAATTGCCACTAGGCTGGCACAGTAGTTTATTTGGTTTTTGTTTTATAAATTGATCGAATATTTGAAAATCACGACATCTGGTGTAAAAATCCTGACTAGGCCTTTTAAGAACCAGGAGAGTGGGTGATCCTGGGTCTCTGAGTCTGTGAAGTGACTCCCCCACTGTGCCACAGTCCCACTCACTCCCCACGTCCAACTGAGCCCATGCCAGCCCCTGCCATGGCCCACCTGGCCCCTGTGGACCCTGGAGTAACTCCCATAGAGTAGTTGACCATGAGGAATCAATAAGAAATCAGAGAAGGGAAACTCAGTGCTCCGGCAAGATATCAAGAGACCCAGATCCCAGCACTGCCTCCACCAACATCCCAAAGTGGGTGACTCCCTGCCACTCGTCACAGTGAAAGGCAGCCTGACCTTGCATAAGACCTGCTTCTCACAAGGTTGTTCTGAGGATTACACGTGTTCAGATTTAGGGAACTCTTAACACCGTGTTAGAAAGCCCCACTTCTGCTCTAATTCCAGAACATTTCTAGAGACTGCGATCTCTGGTGCCTGCCAGTGGGACCGCTGCCCAGTCTGCATGCTGGATCAGGGGTCTGTAGTAGGTCCACTGACAGATGTGATCCCTTTGCAAAGGTATCCACTCAGCACACCCAGTGAAGACTCATTCTGAGGTGTCTAAGGAAGCCAGCGTGGCCCTCACCACTTTCAGAGGTGTATCTCAGGTCCTGGAGTGCGGCCACCGCTGCCTGTGTCCCCTGAACGTCTTCTGCCTCTGCGATGTGGAGATACTGGGTAGAGGGCTCCTCTGGAGCTTCCACTGCTGTCTAAATGGAAACATAACACTGAAGTTACCTTCTAAAAGATCAGCTGTTGCCCAGAACCTGCAAGATAATGTATTAGGACAAAAGAGATGTACACAAAAGCAGTACTTTACAGCAATGTGTTTACCTACATCCCTGAGAAACCAGTTGCTCCAGTAAATATGTTTCCCAAAGAAAAAACTTGCTAGTCCCAAGACTTTTTAAAACTAGCTTTGGTGGAAAGCTTCTTGGTGGGAACAGAACACGCTGTTCGTAACCAGAGGTCTAAAGAGCTCAGCTTCCAGTGCTGCCTCTACTCTGCCCCTTCCGTGGGGGCCACATGGCCAGCAGAGGGAGGGGCAGCACCTGGGCAGCTGGTGGGGGGAAGGAGAGGAAGGGAGACCCATCCCGCATGGAAAGCACAGGTCCTGGTACACAGTGAGGATTCAGTAAGTCTTAGCTATTCATGCCATTCTTACTTTTATACGAAGGTACAAGAAACAAAACTGTAAGAAATATATTTGTGCAAAATCAGGATTTGAGAGAGTAGGAGGAATGACATTCAGAGGTACCTCGTACCTCACAGAGAGAAGAAGAACAACAGAATTGTCACAGACTAGTTATTAATAACATTCTCTTTCTGGAAGGGAAGGGTAGTACAATCAGAGCCATCAGGCAGGACACACAAATGTCACAAGAAGAACAGAAAAGACTTGAGGCAAAAGTTATAGAAGCCAATTTATGCTCTGGGAGCACTTATCAGTATGACACAGAGGTTCAGAATGGTGTAAAATTATTCTCCCACACCCAACTGGCCAAGTTCATTTACATGTTTCCAGCCTGACATATAGTAAGTACCCAATAAATATTTGATGAATGCATAAACGAACAAAAAGAAGAACATTTTGTTTTAAGTGCTGCTGGGAGACATACTAGCCAACATGGGATCCAAGCAGTGCGGAAGCCTGTGAAAGGGCCGGGTGCACCCGAGTGGTTTCTCCCCTTCTGCGATGACTCTGCCTAATACCCACTTTCAGAGAAGGCAGTGCTCTGTCTAAGGTGTTCCTGCGAGGCAGGTGCCAGCACACACTCTTGGAACAGGCAGCTTGTTACTGCCCAGCTCCCTGCCTGCTCTGTTATCTCACTGTGGTGTTGAGTATGTGGCCTTGTGTCAACTATTTTTGTTGAGTTCACAGCTCTGCTTAACTTTCCCTTCTGGAATCTGCTGGAAGTGAAGCCTTCAGGGAGGGGGATGTTACTACATCCCTCTGTTTATAAAGAGGCACTTTATAAAAGCACTAGCTGACCACAATGGACAGGGTTTTAGAGAAGGAATGGACATTCTGACATCTACTTTTGTTAATAAAGATTAATTCTCGCAGTCTGAATTTGGAACACCAGTTTGTCGTTTCAGCGTAAATGAAGACTGTGGAGTGGACTATGCCATCATTGTCGCCCACAGTCACAGCAGCTGCCATTTCCTCAGGACTTCCTGGGGCTAGACAGAGACCTGAGCATCTCAGGGGCTTCTCTCAGTCCTTTCAACCTCTCAAGTACCAGTAGCCTCCTGTACAGGTAAGAACACCAAGGCTGCGGAGGTTAAACCATGGCTGACATCCACCAGTTGGTAGGTGACAGAGATAGAATGCAAAGTGAAATCTGGCAGATTCTAAAGTTCCTAATATTAAAAAAGAAAAAAGTTACTAAAAATTCAAATACATGAAAAAGCAGCAAGGTAAGTATAATAACCCCCCATGTTCCTGTCACCCAATTCCAACAATTACCAACTACTGGCCAGTCTTTCTTTGCCTGGGCACCCATACACTTCACGCCCTGCTCTTGGATCATTTTGAAGCAAATCCAGAAATCACCATTTCCTCTATAAATATTTCAGAATCTCTAAAAAACAAACTCTTCCAAAATATAACTACAGTAGCACTGTCATACTCAGAAACTTAACAAGTCCTCAACACTGTCAAGTATCTAGGCAATGTTCAAATTTTTCCAATTATCTAATTTTCTTTTCTTTTTGAGTATTTTTTTAGTTTTTCAAATTAATATGAGGGTATACAATTTTTAGGTTACATTGTTCTCACTTCCAGTGTAAAGTGGCACTTGTAGAAGAGCCCCTCACCCAGGGGGACGTGTTAAATACCCGCACAATGTGTACATGAGGAGACATCTGCCTCACGCCCTCCCTCCTTCTGCCAAATGTCCTCTCCACCAACTGGACTATATTAGTGTTTTATTGTTCTTATGAGCATGGCTGTGGAGAGAAGGGAACACTTCTACACAGCTGATGGGATTGCAAACTAATACAGCCTTTAGAGCAGTGGTTCTCAGTCTGTGGGTCGCCACCCACAGGAACTGTATTAAAGGGCCATGGCATTAGGAAGCTCAGGAACCACTGCTTTAGAGAGAGAAGTATGGAGAAGCCTCAAAGATCCAAAAGCAGACCTTCCATTTGACCCTGCAACCCCGTTACTAGGATCTACCTGGAAGAACAAAAATCATTTTACCACAAAGACATTTGCACTAGAATGTTTACTGTGGCTCAATTCACAATTACCAAGTTGTGGAAGCAACCTAAGTGCCCGTCAACCCATGAATGGATCAACAAACTGTGGTATATGTATACCATGGAATATCCAACTAATATGAAATTAATATATAAACAATTATCTAATTTTTAAGTTAATTCAAATCAAATCTAAATGAGGTTCACCCATCAGAACTGATGTGTCTTCTAAGGCTTAATATCTCTATGCTCTCCACCGTTTCCGGCATCCCCCCTCCCTGTAGTTAACTGCTGCATAAAGCCGGCTGTTTGCCTTGCAGAGTTTTCAACAGTCTAAATTTTGCTGATCCCATCACCGTGAAATCAATTACCATGGTCCTCTGTCCATGGTATTTTCTGTAGTTAGTCGTCAGACCTAAATATAAAGGCTTAATCAGGTCCCTTTTTCACAAGGATGCTTCACAGATGACACTGTGTAAGCCCTTCAGAAGACATATCGCATGCTTGTCTCTCTTTTTGTAATGTTATTGATAATGATGATCACTGCTAGATCCTCAACATCATTAGAAGACTGAAAAATAATAATATTCTAATTTTTCATGTGTTAGCTGAAATACTGGCAAAGCAAAAACTTCCCCTCATCACATTTAGTCACATTTAGTTTTCTTTTTCTTGTTTTAAAGGTAGAATAATTGCTTGATTCTTGGCTGTAATGCACCAGTTTTCAAAATAGAGTTGATTCCCAAGCATCGACGAAGGTGATGGAGTTTTTTTTTTTTTTCCCAAAAATCATTCTATGCTCATGGAATTAAACATAGTTTATGTGTTTTACTGTAGTTAATAAACACTAACAGCAGCCCCAGAAGTGCACTGACACCAACAGAATAACCGAAACTGCAGCCTTTTCAGTTCTGTTTCCCTTTACATTATGCTCCATTAGGGAGGTGTGACCAAATTACTATTTAAACTCTTGAAATAGTTTCTCTGTGGAGTTATTTAATGTACAGTTAGGTTCATTTATTTCATTTTATTCTAAATGGTTAAGACTTACTTTTTTAAAAATTCAATTCTGTTGTTACTGTTCTATGAACATTTTGATGACATCAGAGTCAAAACTGCACGACGGGGCTTGTTAAGTTTAACCTGCCCCACCCTTGTCCTCAGCCTCTCTTCCTTGCATTCAAGGTTCACATTTTTTACTTTTTGTACCTTACGCAGGAGTCACAGAGATGATACCACAGAGACATCCTACAGACCCTTCACCTAGCCTCCCCTACTGGTGACATCTTATGTCATCATGGCAAAATCATCAGAACCAAGAAATTCAGCATTGGCACACACTATTAGCTAAACTACAGGGGTTATCCAGATTCCTCCAGCTTTTCCGTCATGTCCTTTTCGGTTCCAGGACTCGATCCTCCATCCCACAGAGCATTCAGTCCTCGTGTGTCCACAACCTCCTCCCGCCGCTGACAGCTCCTCACTCTCTCCTTGTCATTCATGACCTGGACGCATCTGAGTACGGCTCAGGAATCTGACCACACACATCATTTGGGTCTGTCTGGTGGTTTCCCATAACCAGACGGGGTTGACAACTTTTGTGAGGAGTATCTCCAGGTGAGTGCCCTTCTCGTCACATCATACCAGGTGGCACACAATGTCAGAATGTTTCACCACTGATGATGCCCGCCTGGATCACTTGGTGAAGGTGATGCCTCCACCATGGAGTTCCTACTTTTCCCTTTGTAATTAAAAAATACTTGGAGGGTGATATTTTTAATTTATGCAAATATCCTTGCTCCTTAAACTTTTGCTCACTAATGTTAGCGTCCCTCAGTGGCCCTCGCCTGCTGTAACTGTCCCTGTGTTGTTCTGTGGTGAGTTACTATTTCTCTCATTCCTCCTATAGTTATTAATCAGAATTTGTTTGTGGAGATGAGTAGTTCCTTCTTATTCATCCATTCACTGATTTACTTATATCAGCATGAACCCGCTGGAATTTATTTTATATTCTGAGTTATAATCCAATATTATCATTTATTTTGATCCTCAAATCCTCCAGCGTTGCTCACTGGGAGTTCTTCTGGCCTGTCTCCTCTGCTCTTTTGACATGTGTACCCCTAATTAGTCAATTATTTTACTGACTGACTGACCATGTCATTACTTTCTAGCACCACAAGATGTTCCGAGATCTCTCTTGTGTATGGTCTTCCTCATCCTTGAAACCAACCACTTTTTCAAGGGACCCTGGTTCCTTTTCTTAGAGAGGTTTATTAGAAACCAGGTTGTGGGTACTGTGTGTGCTTCCTGCTGCTAGGTGTCACCATTTCCAGCCCTCTCTACACAGAAAGCTAGGAAATTCACATGTGTATGCTAATCATCGATGGCATAGGAGTTTTTTTCTTTTTTAAGTGCGTTTATAGTGATAATAATTCCTCTGATTCTTAGTTATAGGGCTTGTGCAGCTGTGCCCTACGTATATTTGTAACTTCCTTCTCAAACAATGAGAAGCCCGGCTCCTGTTACCTATAATGTATTTCCTTATTTGTTCAATCATAATGCACATAGGAAGTGGCTTCAGAATTACTACCCCACACGGCCATGAGAAACACACTTCCTAACCAGATCACACTTGCCTGTAGTTCTTTTCTCCTTAGCCTTAGAGCATCAGTCAACTGTCTTCCAAAGTTACCAAATTCAGCTCCTTCTTTCCCCATCCCCTTCAGTGCGACTATGTCATTCATCTGTGACACAGTTAGATTCATTTACCATGTATGCTTTTTCTAAGTTTTTTATTTATTCTTCAACTTTTTCTAAAAACATAAACACTACACATGTACACATTGTTCTTTACCCCACTTTTTTTACTTAATAGTACACCCTGGAGACCAGGAGGAAGACACAGGCATGTCCTTTCTTCCCTTCCACAGATGCTTGGTTCTGTCCATACAGTCCCCAAGTTATAAACATCTGATTAACCTACAGCTCACACTTAAAAATGGAGACTATTCCAGGAAGTCCTCAAGTCAAGTTATAAACACCTGACTAATGTTATGAGTTGCACTTACAAATGGGGGCTATTACAAGTAAGAGGTAAATATATGTGTTCCAATTTACATACGAACTCAGCTTAAGAACAAACCTACAGAACCTATCTTGTTTGCAACCCAGGGACTGCCTGCAGAGCTGTATGTAAGGCATTCATCCAACCTCTTCCTGACGGACACTAGGTTGCTTCCAGCCACATACTATCATCAAGAGGAGTCACAAAGATGATACAACAGAGACTTCCTATGGACCCTTGCAACAAATAGCCTTGTGCAAAGACCTTTTCTCATTTTATCCAGTCTAACTTTGAGATTGTTCCCTAATGTGAGCTTGTTTAGTTAATAAAGACGTGCGTATGTAAGTTTGATACATACTGTTTTCCCTTGGTAGGAATGGACCATTTTACATTTCCCTCAGCAATGTAGGAGAACAGAATTCCCCACTGCCTCTCCAGCAGAAATGATATCAAACTGTTAGATTCCTGTCAATGCTAATGTGTGAGAAATTCTATCTCAGCCTAGTTTTAATTAACATTTCTTTTATGATGTGTGAGACTGATTATGTACAGAGATATCCTAGTTTATTTACATTTCTTTTTCTTTAAACCTTTCTAATCTCTTGCCTATTTTTCTACTGGATTGCTAATCATCCTCTTCACTATTTTTATAGGTCTTCTCTAGAATTAAAATCTTAATTCCTTTTCTGTGATATGACAAAAATTAGTTTTGTCTTTTATATTTTTACTTAATATTTATAAGTTCTTTTCCATAAGACTTGAAAATTTTCTTCATGTAGTCAATGTTTTTTAATCTTTTCCCTTATTGAATACAGATTTTGAATTATAAGAAAGTTCTCTATGCTCTCAGTGTCTAAATGAATTTCTTTTTTTTTTTTTTTTTTAGACGGGGCCTCAAGCCGTCCGCCTGGGTAGAGTGCCATGGCATCACGCTCACAGCAACCTCCAACTCCTGGGCTCAAGCGAGTCTCCTGCCTCAGCCTCCCAAGTAGCTGGGACTACAGGTGCCCGCCACAACGCCTGGCCGTTTTTTTTTTGGTTGCAGCCGTCATTGTTGTTTGGTGCGCCTGGGCTGGGGATTCGAACCCGCCACCTTAGGTGTACGTGGCTGGCGCTCTAGCCACTTGAGCCACAGGCGCCGAGCCCTAAATGAATTTCTTCTAGAACCTGTAAAACATTTGTTTTTATATTTAAATCTGATCCTTTTGAAATGTGCCTTACATAAGTTGTAAAAAATAGATCCGATTTCATCTTTTCCCATATGCTATTTAGTTATTCCATATGACTTATTAAAAGGTCCATCGTCGTCCTACCAACTTGAGACACCATGTTTATCAGGTAATACATTTCCTTCTATCACTGGGTCTGTTCTTTCTACTCTGCATCATGAGACCATCTGTTCATACACAAAAAACACCATTCTTAGTTAGGAAGGTTTCAATACATGTTGTAACATCTGGTAGAATTCTCCTCAACAACGTTGTTTTTCCCAAGCTTTTCCTAGCTATTCATAAATGAACTTTATAAATCAACTTGACTAGCTCCAGAAAAAAATCTAATGGTATTTTTATTGTGATATTGTGTTGACAAATTATCATATAAATGACCTTCAAGAGTATTAACATTTTTATGTCATTAAGTATTTCTATATATGTTTAAATTTATGTCTCTTTCAGGAGTGTTTTGTAGGTTTCTGCATTTACATTTGGGGTATTTTTTTGTTAATACCTTGATTTAGCTGGGTTTTATTTCCTATAATAGGGTTTTTGTTATACATGCACATACACACGCACACATACACACGCATGGGCTGTAAAGAAAGTATCCAGTCATGTAATATGAAAAACAGTATTAACAATGGGTGGATAGCTTCTGGACACCCCTCGTGTGTGTGTGTGTGTGTGGTGTGTGTGTGTGTGTGTGTGTGTGAATGTATGCTGTTGATGTATGCTAACCTTTTAATCTGCTGTCTATTGTTGACATTAGTTTTTCATTTATTCTTTTAGACTTCTCCAAACTATAACCCCATCGTATGCAATTAGAGACGCTTTTATTTCTTCCCTTCCTGTTGTGTGTCTGTGTTTGCTTTGCCCTGTCTGAGCACACTGGCAGATGCACCCAGCACAATGCCAAAGCACAGCAGAGCTACAGAGCATCCCTGTCTTGCTTCAGACTTTAGTGGAAACCCTATGGTGCTTCCCAGCACAGAAAAATGCTAGTGTTTGCCGACTCGCGTGTATCCTTTTTTCATCTTAGGGAATGTAGCCAACAAAGTCTGTGTTAGTGAATACTGAGTTTTGTCTAACATCTTTCTGCATCTATGACAATGATCCCTTCATTGTCCCTCTAGCTCTATTATTATGATAGACTGTATTAATATATTTACTCCTACCAAACCCAGCCTTTGCTGTCTGGAATAATCCACACATCATAGTAATCTATTAATTTTTTTCATGTGTGTGGATTCTGTTTAAAAGCTTTTACTCTTAACCACTGGACATTTTGAAAAATCCTTGCATCAAATGGGTGGATTTTGACCCCAGGGAACTCTGAACATTGGCGATTTTTGGAGCCATTTTTAGTTGGGGTTGGGGTTGGGGTTGGGGTGGGTGAGAGGAGATGCTGCTACTGATAACTAATGAAGAGGCCAGAAATGCAGGTAGGCGTCCTAGAAAGCACAAGACAGACAGCGCTGCACAACAGAGTCATCCAGACCCAAATGTCACTCGTGCTGAGTCTGAGAAACCCGCCTCAGTCGACTAGTCCATGGGAGTGACACCATATTTGAAAATGAAATAGCTCCTGGGTCTCACACTACAGATGTCTTTTCATCCAGGTGACTAGTTGCAACTCTTCAGGGAAAACACAAGGAAGGCATGTGGGAGCGTAAGTCTTCCACTGAGGGAGAGTGGGGCCTTGAACCAAGACAAGGAGCCCTCCCGACTCCCTTGGTAAGGGTGGCAATCTACTTCTTGACTTCCATTTTTTCAGATACGACATCTGAAACTCTGGATTTGTAAACAACAGAAGCAAAAATGTCAACGAGATCAATATAAACCTTCACACGGGAGAGTCTGAACTCAACCCAGAATAAGAATTCACACGCCCAGTCCAGATCTCAGCCAGTTATACCCCTTGGACAGGAGACTTAATTGAAAAGGTTTCAGAAGGTTCCCAACCAAAAACCCCAATGTTCTGAGAATGGCTGTCTGTGCCCAGTGCTTAAGGCTGATCTGTTTGTCACAAGTCTTTAGAAATGTCAAGATCAATATCACACTTTAAAAGTTACCTCCCACTTGGGGTCTCCGTCAATTTCCACCACCTTCAAGCCATGTTTGTTCTTCAAGTGCCTGTTGAACTCCCATTTGGTGCCATATACAAAGCTGCAGACAGGACACTTCAAACCCCCTGAAAGCAAAGACAGACATAAGAAGTGTGCACAGCAGATAGAATGCAGTGGTCCCTCCTATTCAAATTCCTCCAATGTAAGAAGCCTACTATTTTGTCTCTAGCACTTCGATTCAATCCCAGCTTATCTCAGTACCAGAACACAATGGCAACATAGTGTGTATGTTTTCCAGGGTAGACATTTTAAGTTATTGAATAAACATTTGCAGAGAACCTGACATGTGCTTGCTAGTTTAAATGACAGAACTGAGACAAGTAACATAATTCTCTTGATCATGTGGATAAGTGGCTTAAACCGTTCTTTCATTTTTTTATTTCTAAATAAAAAAAATAATTTAGGAAACTTTCTCAATCTCTTTTGCCCCAAAACACTAAAAGCAGGAGCCAGATTCTCAATGTCCTTCACATCATAAGCGAAGTCATTTGTATATATTATTCCCACATAAATTTCCCAGTAAAGAATAAATTAAAAAGCTGGTCACATCGTGAAATGTCACTATTTATTAAACTGATTAAATTTTCCACGTTTCAGTAAGTGTTTGGATGCTTTAATTAAGAGAATATAAAATTCGAGTTTAAAAAAGAAAAGTGGAGAGTCTCGTGAAAGACTATCTTTCAACAATTGTATCAGAAGCAGCAGCGAAACCAGAGGCTGGACCAAAGTCTCTCTGAACAGACTGTGCCTTCAGAAGCAAAGTTCAGCCTCAGGAGGCTCACTATGGTCCTGGTCAGGTCCCCAGGCTCCTGGCCCAAGCCAGGCCAACTGCGGGCACTATCAGGCCTCACTACTGAGCTAAGTCGGGGCAGTGACCCTCCTGAAGTCTCTGTCACTATGGCAGTCTGGAACTTTGAGGCCATCTGATTCCGACAGGTCACTCTTGAGTCGTGAGCGCCCTACCTCCTGTCTTCCCCTGTCATGCAGCTCTTCCTGCTCTGCCTTTTCTCTGGGACTCCATGGCTTCTCCTATTTAGGCCAGTCCTCCCACTGCATCCTAGACTCCCAGAACTCCAGGGCAAAAAAATTCCCATCATTTGGCTCGTTAGAGAGAACCTGCTCCTTCCCCAGACCAGAAGCTGCTCAGGCTCACAAGCCCCAGGTGAGGAGGCAGCCAGGGCAGTGCAGGGCAGCAGTGTCCCCTCCTCTACAGAGGACAACCATCTCCTGGTTTGCCCCTCCTGGCCACGGTGCCATGCCCATCAGCAGGGCACCCACTCTCTCCATACCTCACAGTTATCCAAGAACTTTCCTTACCATTTCACCATCTGTGAAACTTCATTCTCATGATTATTTAGTATCATGCATGGGGCTAGGTCCAACCATGTCACTCCCCGCTCTGACGACTTGATTATCAGCCGTCTTGCTCTCTCTCACTTGAGGCAATCCTTTAACTTCTAAAGGATATCTGGTTTGCATCCTCACCTATTTTTTCTGAACTTGCCCTTCCCAGCTCTGCAGCCCACTCCTGTCTTCCTCCTCCATTCACAGTGAAGATTTTATGGAGTCTCCATTTTTATTCTCTCTCCCTCTTTTTTTTTCCAGACAAGAACTCACCAGAGCCTGGTGTCATCAGCTACTCCTGAGTGACATCAGGCAAGCAGAGGAGGACCAGTGTTCACTAAACATCCTCCTGTTCTTCTACATTTTATTCCATGGGAGAGTAACTACCCTATTCAAAAAATTGCTTAAATTAAGATTAGAAATCTAACCAGAAAAATGACATAAGGTCCCTTCTTTGCCACTGCTGACGGCTTAGGCCAGTGGTTCTCAACTGGGAGATCTGACAGGCGATGTCTGGAGAAACGCAGGCATCACAGCCTGGGGAGCCCTCCTGGCATCTGGGTGTAGGGCCCAGGGATACTGCTCAGCACGCTGCAGTGGAGGGGTGGCCCCACAGCACAGGTGGCTACCAGTGGTGCCAATGCTGAGAAGTCTCACGCCCAGGCATGACGCTTCCTGGCTGGATCCCTCCCAGCACTGAGCAGTCAGACCAACTTCCTCAGTGGTTAAGCCAATGAACCTTTTTCACTCTTCACCTTACTATTAGTACTACTGCCACCTCCAATAATGACAATGATGCCATCAAGCATCTTCCCATTCTGGGCGGCTATCAGATGTCAGACACCTCACAGCTTGCCTACACAGTCCAAGGACACAGGTGTGCTTGCCTTGCTTAATACAAAGGCACTGAGGATAAAGTAACCCTCCTGAAGTTGTAGAACCAAGAACTGAATCGAAGTCTAACTCTAGGGCTCAACCCTTTCACGTCCGCTGTGCTGTGCATTGTAGGGGGATGGTAGGTCCACCTGCCAAGCCCACATGACGTCTGCACGTTGTAAGGTGATGTTTGTTGACTGTGCCCACCTGCTAAGTCCACATGATGTCTGCATGTCGTATGTCAACAATGACTGCTTCCACCATCAAGTCCAGGCTACATCTGGGTGTTGTAAGGCGACACTGACTTAGTCTACCCGCCAAGCCCACGTGATGTCCGGGTGTTGCAAGGTGATGCTGACAGTGTCCACCCACCAATTCCATGTGACGTGTGGGCGTCGTAAGGTGATGCTAACAGCATCCACCTGCCAAGCCTGTTCTTCCCTGCTCTCATGATATGTTCCTGGTTCCTCTACCAGCATCTCTCTGACAAACTCCTGTGCAGGCTCCACATCCCCTGTTCAGAGTCCTAAAGCCTCGGTCCCTTCTATAATCCCTGGTATGTGGATCAGTGATGTCCAAAAGCATCCCATTTCCCCAGCACGCATGCGAGCAGATGGCTAAGGTGCTTACGCTGACACTGAGCATATCTCCGGCTGCCATATTTGTGCGCTGCTTGTACGGCACTGAGGAGGCAGGAGGGTAATTCTGCACTAATGTCGAGGTCATCTGGACAAATTATAGGAGGATCACATCAATCTCACGGGGATCTATCACCTCCAGATGTAGTCATGAGATGCTCCACCTCCTAAGTCAACTCTGTGTCAGTGGAATCTGTATAGAGCACTGTCTTGTCTCTCAGATGAGGAATAGGCAAGTCCCCAAATAGTCACGGGCACAACCAGCAGCCGACCGGCAGGCCAACACACATCCCAACAACTCCCACCACTGCAGGAGGGTCCCCACCCCAGGGGTGTGCGTAAGCATAGCAGGCCCCACAGAGACGGAGGGCAGAGGCAGGCGGCTCCTACTAACGTCAGGAGAAAGATGAGAAATGGATAAGAAACTCTTATGTTCCAGAATATGTTACAGAAAGGGCGGCTCAAATGAACGTTTATTTTCTGAAACTCAGAAACACTGCACCTTTTCTTAGGCAAAACCGAATGGGCCGTCCTTTTCCTGCCCAGAGGATAATTAAACTTCGTTTTTAATCTCCTTTGTTATCACTTTTTAATCAGTAAAATGCTGTCCTCTTTTCCTATAATCTTTTAAAACTCTCCACGGTGCGAGGATGTCCTCTTTCTTTTGGGTAAACTGATGGTGCTTCTCTTATAAAGACTAAATAAGAGACCAGGAGCAAAACCAAAGTACATAAGGTTAAACTTAGGCTTTAAAATGAAACTGAAGATTCCTTCTGGGGTATTCTTTAATGAAAACTAATTTAGAGAAGAAAACATTCTTATATTATGTTTAAATTAAACTTAATAAGATAATGTCCCCACGTTAATTAAAACTTCAACCTTTGCCACAGTGACTTTAATTAAAGAACAACAAATGAAAATATGTAATCTTGACTGAATATATAACTACGCCAGTTAATTGACATCAGAGCTGAGAGAAATTAATTTCTATTTCAATTCATTAAGTTCTTAGGCAATGCACAGAAAAGGTCAGCGGAGGCCTCTGTTACTCACAGGACTGACATTAAGTGTGCACCATAAAAACCACAAGCCCTCAGATCACAGTTTCTTCCTGTAGAATCATTAACCAGGCAAAAATATAAAATTTCAGAAGCAATTTTAAAAATTGATCATGGTATCCTTTGCTTTTTTCAGAATGCAATATATTCTGAAGGAGTTTTAGGCATTAAAATATTTGTGCTCCTTTGTAGTGCGTGACATTATTAAAAATTCAATTTCATTTTCAATAACATAACTCCTGGGACGGCATGCAACGCAGGTTGGGCCATGAGAAGAGCTGAATCTGGCATGAACCCAAAGCTCTTAAACTCTTGGGCATTCATTTTCTCTTCTACTAAGGTAAAAATACTAAAGCTCATAACCTTTGAAAAGGCTGGAAAATGTTCTTCTTAGCAAAGTATCATAAGAATGGAAGAAAAAGTATCCAATGTACACAGTCCTATAATGAAACTAATTTATAGCTCTCAAATGAAAGCTATAACCTAATTCTAGCCCAAGAATATGGGGAGGGGAGGGGAGCAGGGCTGATAGGTGGTGGGAGGGTGACTGGAAAGATCACTTATATGGTCTGTCTAACAAGGGTACAAGTGAACTTTTCTAGAAATAGAGTATAAATGTTTTAACACAATAACTAAGTAAATGACACAAAGTCTATGTTAACCAGTTTGATGAAAATATTTCAAATTGTATATGAAAATGCTACACTGTACCCCATGTTTGCATTAATGTATACAGCTATCATTTAATAAAAATAAACAAATAAATAAATAAATAAATAAGAAAAGGCACTGTGTATGGGTGGCAGAATAATGGGCCTCCCAAGGATCCTGAGATGGGGAGATTATTCCGGACTGTCTGAGTGGGACTAATGTCATCACAGGGTCATTAGGAGGAAAGCAGAAGACAAGGCCACGATGACGCAATCTGAGAGTGACTAGACCAGCCACTGCTGGCTTTGAACATGGAGGGAAGGGCCAGAAGCCACGGCAACCTCTAGGAACCAGAAAATGCAAGAAAACAAACTCTCCCCTAGGGCAGCTACAAGAAATGACATGGTCGTTAGCACCTTGATTTTAACTTGGGGAGACTCATTTTGGACTTCTGACTTTCAGAACTAAGGTAATAAATTTGTGTTGTTTTAAACCACC